ACACTTACAAAACAATAAGCTGCACAATTTTGTCATGAAAGAATTAATATTACAGAACAAAAAAAAACAGTTTTGTGTTGGCAAGATCATTTCACCTTGAGTAATGGGGCTAGTAATGGTTACTGTTATTATTATTATGAAAAATACGAAGTTATAATAATTACATAATCGAATCGTTTCTATTTGGAGTACATAAGAATGCGTGTTATCATTAAAAGTACTAAAAATGACTATTTCTGGACAACAATACTTTGCACATACTTCTTCTACAAATGAATTTACTTCAGCTTCGGGGTAGGCAGTAACACTTTCTTGCTGCTACTTAACTCCCTATGTCGCCCTGGGAGCTTTTTTGGGAGATTTTCGCTAGAAAGCACGGAAGAAAGCTTATCTGAAGGAGGATGAAAGGGGATAGGAGTGTTTGGAAGCCAGAAGTATAGCCAAAAAAAAGAACGGGCCTAGCGAAGGAACATTTCCGATGGGAGTTTTTCTTGAAAGGTCACAAAAGCAAATGAACGTGATGTGGTGCCCCAATTGCACGGAAATTACTGACAGGTACAGGATTCAATGATCATATTTTCAAAATTCCGAATTGTTGGTCGGCCAAGCTCATCTCGATAGAAGATCGTCAGAGATCGTGTTTGTGACGGTGAGCAGCACACGGATGGTACCGAAGCGGATTTCAGCAGAGTCTGTAGGAGGGCGTGGTTTGATGGATGAGTGTCCTAAACAATTTGTTGTTTTGAAAATCACTATGAAAATACGTCGATGAGCTCAAGTATACAGCCAGACCATGATCGCTGTATGTCATCGCCGATGTTTGTTAAAAACGGCGTTGGTTTTCAAAGATAAAAGGAACTAAGGAAGTCGTAAAATTATTCGGTATGCATTGAAGCATTGCATTAGAAATAACCTTTGATGAGAAAAAAGGTGTGGTTTGGGCTTTCAGTGGCCCAAGCCCAATTTGCCTAGAGGTATTCTTCAACTGCTTCTGATTAAAGTCGTGAGAGCCCGCACGGGGTTTTGGGCGACCCAGGATCTTGATCATGAAACGAACAAAAGTTTCGTGCTGCTTACCTTTGGTAGTGGTGTAGGACACATCCCAGAACAGAATCCGGTCTCAAATTCCGCCGGAGCGATTACCCAATGACCCCATCCAAGCTGTTTCAGATCGACCATGGAACCTCGTTTTTGACACATCTGAATATTTTTACAGTAAGACTGACTGGTTA